AAATGAATTTGGCAGTTTTCTATGCTTAAAGAAATCCACCGGATGATACTTTTTATGCTTGAGGAAAGTCGATAGATGATATAATCGCTGACTTCTTCGTCTTGAGAGGTGGCAACGATCGACAATTTTCCATGCTTGAGGAAAAACTTTTCTAATTATGATATTGCAAGCCTCTGTGTATTGAGAACCTTGCGTCGTGAATCGTCTTCGCTTGGGAGATGATCACTAAAATGATGATGGTTCGATTGTCCCCGAACGTGGGTTGTAGTTGGTTCGATTGTCCCTGAACGTGGGCTATAGTTGGTTCGCTTGTCCTCGAACGTAGGCTGTAAATGGTTCGCTTGACCCCGAACGTGGGCTGTAGATGGTTCGCTTGTCCCTAAACGTGGGTTGTAGATGGTTTGCTTGTCCCCAAACGTGGGTTGTAAATGGTTCGATTGTCCTCAAACGTGGGATGTAGTTGGTTTGCTTTTCCCCAAACGTGGGTTGTAAATGGTTCGCTTGTCCCCGAACGTGGGCTGTAAATGAAACCTGCAAAAATAAATTTGCTAAGGGACTCGTATATATTGTGATTGACTCGAGCAACTGACTTGACCAATTTTGACTTGACATGACATGACATGTGTATGACTTGAGTGTGTGTACTGACACAAGCAAATGAAGATTCAAAAGCAAAAATTTTCCGTCACTTTTGTCATTAGTGGAGGATACCGACTTTCTCCTGAAAAAGAAAGACGTGAAAACCGAATTTTTATTTTTGAATTTCCCTTGATGAGAAAATTTTGAAAATGTTTTTTGAACTTCCCTAAAAGAAAAGACGTGAAAAAAGGAAGAAGTTTTGACTTCCTCGTTGAGTAAGACGAAATGAATCGCATGGATTGAATTTCTTGTCTTGAAAATAATGTATGCATGATGCATGTTCTTAGGCCAAGAGGCTAAGGACATTTACATCATGTGACCTGATAGTTGAATGAACTTAGGTCGTGGAGCTAAGCATCATATATGGTGTAAAGAAGCGATCTTGAACGTCACTTAGGTCTGGAAGTTAAGCACGTACATAAATGAAGTGATTATTGTATAATGAACGTTGCTTTGGTCAAGGAATTAAGTACGATATGCTTTGTATGATTACAAATTATTGATGTATAAATGTTGCTCAGCACATAATGCGATGCGTGAAACAATGAAACATTGCTTTGGTCAGGAAGCTAAGCAAGTATACAATGTTTCTTTTAATAAATGTTGTCTTGAAAGATGATGAAGCAAGCGCGGTAGGGAAACAAGATTTCATGATAAAGGGTACCTAAGGGAAAGATGATATGGTTATGTATGTGTGAAAAAAGTGTGTGAAAGTGATACTAAGGTGAGGCTGCAAAGGCTATGGTGATGGAAAGAGATGTGAAAAGAGTCAAAATGGTGACCCTTTAGGCTAGGTAGGCTAAATGATGTGGGTTCAAGCCCCACAAGTCTAGCTCTAGATAGATAGGGTCATAGGAATAAGTAATGGATATTCTTCGATCGATCATGCATATGAATGTGGCCGCAACTCAATGTGAGGTTGCATACGTATCCGTTAGGAATCAGTCCGAACGTAGCTCTAACCGAACTTTGCACATGTGTGTGTACACCTCAAAGAGGTCTTTTAAGGGTTGTAATGTGGTTAAACTGATGGTGTAAGGAAGAAAGGGGTAAAAGGATCAAGACCCGAGAGAAGCCCCCAAAATACGCAATTATGTATTGGACTTTGCAAGTTTTATTTTTCATACATTTTTTTTGCTTTGAATTTCTTTTCTTTTTTTTTTCATTCTTTTGAATCAATGTAGGAAATCTCGGATCATGCGGTCCATCACACACTTAGCACTCATGTTTCTCAGACACGGTACCAAGCACTCGATAAGAGACGCAATTCGAGACGTCTTCGTATCCAAGACATTGGAACACTTGCCTTTAGACATTGTTTTTTTTCCTCTTTATATATATATATATATTCTGAATGTTACATAAATTGCACACTTTCCCATCCCAGGGTTAGGTGAATGTGGGTTGAAGAAATGAGGGCCAAACGTTAGACGAGGCTCAAAATGGTTTGTGTCAAGAAATTGAGTGTATGTTTGAATGGTTAATGGAAAACATGGGTTGCAAAGGTGCCTCAAATCTAAGTTGTGCCCCTCAACTCACTACCATTAATGAATGGTACCCTCCTTGGGACTTCCACGTCACCTAAAGTTAACTATAAATTTAATAGAATGATGATAAAAGAAAAGGAAATGGTAGGAGAAAGAAATCTTAGCCACCACAACCCTAATAATGAAAACTGAAGCCACGAAATCACACTCTCAATTAACTTTTAAATAACTAATAAGGGTACATTTTAATATTGATAAGGAGTTGAAGGGCACAACTTAGAAACTTGAAAAAGCATGGGTACACCTTAGAAACTCGAATACCTTAAGGGTATAGCTTAGAAAAACCCTTTTTTTTTATGTGCATAAGAAAGACATGATCGAGATATAAAGGAATAATGTTCATTTTATTGATGGGAATGGTGAATGAACAAACACAATAGAGTTTACAAAGAAAAACCTATGATAGACATGAATGGGGGAAAGGGAAACGAAAAAATAAGAAAAGAATGAAATCTTGCACAAAGGGCTCGCCGTGTGCCTTGTCTTCATTACTTTTTTCCACCTGGAGGGGTAGGAAGTTTGTTGGCATCTACTAAGTCTTGAATGGAGTCCTTCAAATTCCAACATTACTCGGTAGTGTGGTCTCTTCCTTGATGGAACTTGCAGTAGGCATTGGGATTCCACTTGGTGCTCCTTTCTTCAAGTTTTGGCTCTAGAAATGGCCCAGTAGGTGTAATCAAGCCTTGACCGTAAAGGAGATCAAAGACCGTATCATAAGTCATTCCAACATTGGTCCCAAAAAAAAGGGTACGGATTACCTGTAGATCGACACCAAGCTGATGGCCAAAGTATGAATTGCCCCTCTTAGTGATCCATGGGTATAATTCCTTGACATCCCAAATGAGAAGCACCACACTGTAGCCATTTTGGCCTCCAAACCCTTCAACATTGTACACGTCCCTTAGTTCAAACTTAACAAAGTCTATTGTGCTCTGGTCAAGGCGAGCCTCGGTCACGATAGCAAGACTAGGTGAGTAGGAATTGAACAGCTGGTAGAACGTGTCCACAAACAACGGTCGGTGAACATTCCTTGCATTCCAGAGGATGACATGTGAACCCGAGGGTAAGAACCGAGGAGACGGCTCATGAACATCAGTTTCAGACCCATAAATGGACACTCGGTGGTACTTCACCTTTAGCTTGTTGGTAACACAAGAGAAAACATTCAAATAAACGTACTTAACAAGCTCGCGCACCTCCATCAAGTGAATGGTTGCGATGGTAGAGCCGATGAAAATGTGTCTTTCTTATAAAGGCAGGGTGTATAGGGGAAGTTTTTCGGGGTCGATATCTGGCGTCAAATCGAACACTGGAACAATCTCTTTTGGGATGAAGTCAGCAGCTGTTGAATTTTCGCACAACCACTTCTCAAAAGCACCAGCCCCTTGTGGAGATACCCATCCAAATCAGTTAGATCAGGATAATAAGCTAGGCAAATATTTCTTTCCGAAACTTCCATCAAACTTTTTGGGATATAGGTGGTTGTCATTAAGTCAAGAGATTCGGATAGCTGATCACGAAAAAAGGTAGGGGGAATACAAAGCCCTTCTTTGTAGTGATAATCATTCGCAAAATAAGTGGTAGAATTGAAATCAAGTTCAGGGGTGTTAGTTGGCTTGAAGGGGCTGAAGTGCATGAGTAGGGTTTTTGAATGAGGCACTATGCGCCTTCCCCAAGAACCCACAAGGTGACCTCCAGTATTTCCTAGGTTGGACATGGTGATTCAGAAGGGGTTTTGATTTTGGCTCGGTTGAAATGAGTGTGGTTGGTATGCGAAAATAGATGATACCATTAACTATATTTACATAGTATAAGAGGAAGAGTATAATATTTGGAATTTATCTAACCATATTTTCAAACTTATCATTCAATTAACCTTTGGAAAGAACCGTAAAAAAATCCAGAAAATCTGAAAATTGCAGAGTTCCTTTACTAAGGTCAGGCTAGAAGGTCAGATAGAAGGACTACTTTAAGCTCAGTTGAACTGAAAAAAATATTAAGTTGAGCTGAACAAGCAAAGTTAGTCATTGAATACAGCATTAGGATAAGACAATACATATACACAAATAGTAAAATTTGGTGTTGGGCTTAAGGAAGGCATCAGTCATAGCTGAAAGTTCATATACTATGAAATAAGGAGGGGAGTAGAAGGATTTTATATGAAAACATAAATGAACCTAACTAATACGTGCTACTACAATTTATAAGGTTATTAAGGGCAATTCTTCCACCCTTGAATTTGCATGGTTAGGGGTGTCCATTCGTTATTCGGTTTTGATTTAGCCCAAATCCAAATCTAAGTAATCCGAAATGTATTTTGGTTTTTAATTTTCAAATGCAATCCGAATTAAAATTAGGTTATTTGGATCGAATCCAAATGAACAAATTAAAATACGTTGCTAATTTGTCTGGGTCTTATCTGATTATTAAAAAAAATTGCAATAATAAAATTTCAATTGTTGAAAGTATAGTAGTTCATGATTTATACAAGTATTAAAACCATAGATTTTAATATTATTATAATCCTAAACATAGTTTAACATGATTATTATTAACAATATTTTTTTTTTTGAAAAATAACGCTTTCATCTAAAAAGAAAAATAACGCTTTCATTAAGATTAAACCATTACAGCAACTTTATAATGCAGTAATAGTTAGGTTTGGTACAACCAAAAGTCCAAAATAACAAGCTCGAAGGTTACATTAGTCCTAAATAACAAACTCCAAAATAACAAACTCGAAGGTTACATTAGTCCAAAATATCTAATTCAAAGGTTTATGTACTCCAAAATAACTTAGTACACGAATCCACCTCAAAAAATAATATTATGTTATAAATATTAGAACATCATAATTAGTTTTTCACAAAAACAAAACTGACCCACTCCACCTACAAAGTCAGTTGAGAACCTGTCTTTCTAGCGCCGCGTCTTTCCTTAACTTTGGCGGTACCGTCTCCAACTTTGACTTCAACTCGTTGAAGTCACTATTCACGTCTTCAAGAAACAGTGTGGTCCTCAAGGAGGAGGCATATTTTTCCTACCAAAATATTCTTGTCAAAATCCAAGGAAAATTGATAATCAAAGCATACACAACCAAAGGACCGTAATCTCACCGTGTGAAAGGGAGCTTCAAAAGATCATGCACAATACTTCATAGTTGCTAGCATTATTGCACCACAAGAGAAACTGATATTGCAATAATGAGATTAGCATCATAAAACATAATAACTAGTACAATAACACATAGATGTCATAAACTCATAGAACAACCACTTCATAAATACTCACGTGTCAGCCTGTCGCACCGGAAATGTCCTCCTCAACCATGTAGAAGTTGTACCCACCTCCCATGTGGGATCACTAAGATGTAGTAACTCCTCCAATGCCTTCATCTAAAAGGACCAAATGGTGCATCGTGATACAAAAATTAATCCAATAGAAAACCAAAATTTGAAATAAAAGTAAGGAAAGAGAGAGTTGAACGGGGGTTACAGGCTGGAGATAAAACTTTTCATGCTTTAAGTACAGATCTTCATACAAAGAATTAATCATTCACACCAACTGTGCCTTTAAATCTAAGGCCAAGCAAAACCAGTGTTCAGCATTATTCATAGATGAATCAAGGACAGGGACAAAAACATGTGAATCGTAAACCAATTTAATTATGCACATCCCAAACAACAGTGAATTTACTATCAAAAATAAACACAAACTGAACACATACACTTTGTATTTGGTCAAGGGGATAACTTAGGAAAGACTTACCGTACTTTTTCCCCAACAGTTTAGGATCATCTTTCCCCAGCATAACAAAATTTTATGACCCACAGAAAAAATTTAGTTAAGTACGAATACAAAAAAATAAAAAATAAAAAAGGGCACGATGTTTAACCACAAAGAGTAGTCTGAAACCTAACCGCGTACGAATGATCCATCATAATCCTTTTCCTCGTATGTTGTGATGCCCAGATTTTTGTATAAATGATAGAAGCCATCCTAACATAATGGTTTTCAACACAGGATCTCGAGAAAACAACTCTCCAACAGTCCCTTTGAGATGCATCTATGCCATTACAAAGAATCAAGTTTGGATCGGGCCTGCAATTGCCATTTCGCACACAATTACCAAACAACATAAATTATGACAAATCGCCAACAGACAGTTAAAGCTTTACTTACTATTTATCGTTTTTCAATTCCTTCCACCCCCGAACAAAGAACAGAAGCCTCTTCTCAAAGGGACTCAGCTTATTTGGGCCTAGGTTCTTCCTCCAAAATGGGTGAGCTATTCACATTATCACCAGAATAATCATCACCAACCTTTTTCGAAGGACTACCTTCATCAGTTGGTCCGGTACTCCCGACATTTTCATGGCAGTGGAAGCTTCCGCCAGTAACAAATTCATCAGGTACCATGATAGTCATCTTTGTTGCTAATCGACTAAATGCTTTCCCGAGCAAACCCCCCATAAGTGTCTCAAGCCTCGGGGTCAAATTTTTCATGACCTAGAAAGAACAAAATTTGGTTTCAAAGTCATAACAAGTTCTAAAATTATAAATTTCCAAAAGGAAACAAAATATAAAACAATACATTACATGCTCCACCACCTCCGTCGCCAAATCCTTCACTTGCTGGGGCTGAGTTCCTTGAGAGACAGTCTTTGTCATACAATCAGCATCCCGTGGATCAAGAGGATGCTCCTCGTCATACGCTATGTCCAACGCCTACAATAAAACCTTGAAGTAAGAATACAAAGATAATAACCAAGTAAGTCAGCAACTGTCAACCACTACCAACATACCAACAACTTCTCATACTCGGTCTGGGACACCTTGTTTTCCATCAATGCTCCCCTAGTCTCATGTGAATTCCACACCTTCACTCTTAGGAACACTCCCCACTGCACAAGTTTGCGGTGCAGGTGATCTAGATAAAAAAATATTGAAACCAAATTTTTTTGGTGTCAATTTACTTGTTTACAAAGAAAATCAAATTTTAAGAATTAATAAGGATTAACACTCACTAGGACAAACAAGATGCTACCTCCGCTACCGGACCTGAATCCATCTCGCAGAAAATTCGTCTGGAAGCGATGTGCTGTGTCGCAAAGCCACTCCAAGGTGAACGTACACTAGTCATAGTCACAAGCATCAGTGGCCACAATCACACATGGAATTAGAGATGCCGCCAAATTTGAAGAATTAGTCATTTTGCAAAGCAATTTCCCTAAAACCACAATTAAAAAAGCAACCATAAACTCCTCCTCATCAGCTTCTGCCTCTTGGGGAATAGGGTTCTCTTCACTGTCCAATGGACATAGAACATCAAAAAAGGATTTCAGAGAGATGATTTCCTTCTTCGTACCTTTTCCATATGCATCATACAAACATTTAACCATCGTTATCTTGTTTTCATCTTCACCAATCTCCCTCGGCACGGGTTTTGAACCCATTGGAATACCTAACGCAGACCTCACTTGCTTCGCACACAATGGAAAAATTTCACCCTCACCAAACACCATTGTGCCATCCTCAAGAACTCTTGCCATTAACCAATAGCAAAACTGCCGAGGGATAGATATTTTTCATATCCAACTCAAGCAACCCCTCAAACCCCATTTTGCTAACTAATTGTTTACTCCTTGGATCAAATGCTAGTATGGCACGGCAAAATGATTTGACATGACACAAAATGTTCAGATACTGTCCCAAATTTAAAAAGTTAACTGTCAACAACAGCGAATTAGGAAATAATAACCAGCAATAAAGGAGATAAAAAATTCAACGGCATACAAATAATTCCCTGACCATGAAGACAACCAACATATAAATCTTACCTTGCTTACATTTTCCTCTGGGTCTTCAAGACCTCCCCTTTATTCAACACTTTGTGACCTTCAAGTTTAGGAATCTACATCCAAAGACACACAAAACAAACTAGGGTTATAACCAACATGTAACAACTTGCTTACATGTTTTTAATAAAAAAAAAATCAGAAGGGTTCATACCTTTTGCTTCTTGTAAAAACTTTCTGCACCTTTCCCTTTTGTAGACACCTAAAAATGTCTCCCCAAAACCAAACCCGATGATGAACAACCTTTCACCGTCATTATTGGTCGGGTTGAGTATTTAATCTTGGATTGCTTAAATCCATATTTCCAATTCATAAACCAACCCAACTTCTAGCCCATTTCCTCAAACCATAACTTATTTTCCTCTTTTCGTGCATTTAAACCCAAAATAATTCATTTCGTGTCCTTTAAAATCATTCATTTCATGTCTTTTTTACAAAAACGTTTAATCCAGTTTATTTTGGTTCATAATCTGGGTCCAATGATTTAATAATTGGATGGGGCTTGAAAAGCTCTTTCCAACGATATATTATAATCTCAAATCCGAGTTATAACGAATAAATTATGGACAAAATATTAAGCTGAGCCCAAATCGAACCTAAGCCCACCTTACCTACGACCCAATGATCATGTGGAGGGTCCAAATTATTTAATCCAATTCCTAAACCAATTAGAATTAATTGGAAGCTTCTATAAGTTTCTAAAAGATCTTAATTATCCTTTTTGAAAAGATAAGATTAAAGAGTTTAAAATTGAATAAAACTTTTCTTTTTGAAAATCCTATTTCTATCCGAATTGAAAGACGTTCAAAGATAGTCAGATATGATTTTCGTGCCTCATATTTTTTATCCAAATTTTATAACCTTGAAATTATCTTTCCAATGATATATTATAATATCAATTCCGAGCTATAACGGAAAAGATATGAATAAAATGTCAAACTCTATCAAAAACTGACACTGTCTCACTATTTCGGCCATATCTTTTATTATAGAAAATATTTTAATCTGATTACAATTGTGTTAAAAAGTAGACTTCAAGATATTTCCAACGATATTTTATTATCTTATTCTGATCTGGATCAAAAGATATGATAAAAACAAAAACCACAAAAACTGTTGTCTATCGCAAGAGTTTTGTCCGATCGAATTCTTATCTTTTCTTGATTCTTCGACCCTCTTTTTTCCTTATAAATAGAGGTCATATCTCCTATTTTTCAATCATCAAAAAGCTTGGTCACAAATCATTCTCTTCTCTCTCTTTATCCTAAACACTAGCCTCCCTATTCTCTTATAATACTTCCCCTAAGCACTCCAAGGAGTCCATACTTAACCCGAGTTCCCGCCCTTAAACCAAGGCGTGAAAGGTTTGACTAAAGGTTTGGACCAAATCAAATCTAATTTTTATTTTAATTTAATTTCCATTTGATTTATTTTTATTGAAGTTACTAACAGTTTATTCATGCTGTAGCAATTCAAGGAAACGCGGAAAGTGAGTAATTAATCACTTAATTATTCTCATTTTTATTCTTATTGTCAGTATCATGATTAGGTTAATTTTTTATTTTATTTGACTAACGCTATTATTGTTGAATTTCTTTCAATATTAATGTTGATTCTATTATTTATTGATCACGATATTGCATGTTAAAGGGAATATGTAATTGAAAATCACGTCTAATAAGATAATTTGAACAACCAGTTTAGGTTCCTTTTTAATCTTGTTATTAATTCAAGTGATCACTAATATTTTAGAATTATATGTTGCATTAATATTCAACCAACTTAGCATAATAATAGTTTGAAGCAAATTGAATCTTTGTTTGTATGCCTTTGAGATCGCAGGAGTCACTTTTCACTATAAGAATCGAGTAGAGGCCAATACGGGCGAATGTGATTCCATGATTCACTTCGTACCATCATCCTCGATCCTCCTTTCATGGTTCTAAACCATATGAAGTTAGTAATCTCATGGATTATGAATGGGGTGTAACCTTCACGGGTCAATCGTTGACCCTTTATCGTGGTTGCCTTTTATCATCCGTGAACGGTTTACAAGTTCCTTAAAAACTTGTTGGCGGCTCCCTACTTTGCTTTGTCCCTAATCGTATTATGTCAATTCCCACTTCCTATGAGTGCCAAGCATATTCACAACATGCTTAACATAGGCGCACTTTAAACGACGCCTACACCTTTCCTCTTTCGTGACTTCATCTTCACATACTCCATCATCATGTTCTCCATAAAACAAGAACTAGTGACTGAATCTCCTTCACCATCAGAGTTATTACAGCGGTTCCCAACACCTACATCATCTCCAACATCCTCATCCTCCACTTCATAATCCACATCATTGTAAGCCTGCTTAGTTTTCCCCTTCAAAATCATTTCCCTTAGAGGTTTCACGGTGGCAGCAGGCTTCTTAGACCCATTTTCCTTTACAGCCACAATCTTTATACCACCAATATTTGATCCACCACCTTTAACACACTTCGAAGGACCCTTAAAAAACAATTAACACAAAATTAGAACAACTACTAACACTACCAACTAATAAAATTCAAAACTCTTCAAATGAATTACTCACAATAGCCTTCTTCCAGTTTAGTGAATACACTATTGACTTTCTCATCCTTTGCAAATGATCAATCCACAGCTACTATTAATAACCACAAGAAAATCAACTAATAAGTTTCAATTTAAATGCCCAACCATGCCACATAATACACACATAACACAAGATATTAATTCAACCTTAACTCATAAATTCAACCTTACCTAACGATACTCATACAATAATTCCAATTTGCATGAACTAAATTAATCAAATTACACATAAAACAAATGGGCAAAGGAAACCATCTAAATTTGATCATACAATAACTCTCAAGAAACCTTTATAGATTAACCAAGTCACTTTCTATATACATGGAAAACAAAATAATCCTTAAAATAAAAACATAACAAAAAAAACAAAAGATCTTTAAATACATAACATATTTATACATAGTAACTTTTCTAGTCTACAAAAATTATGGATGATGCAAAGTCAGCATGTATTAACTGTACAAGGAAAGGGGTGGTAAATGTGTGCTAACAAGATTAGATACAAATTAATAAGCAAGAGATATCACATCAAATAATTGTTTGCACACAGGGTGATGAAGTGATCTCACTCTTAAGACTATAACTACTTCTATTAATCATAGAGTAACACAATTCCAGAGATACACTTTACCAAAACGACTAATTTAAATCCACTAAACAAACGTAACTGGGATTACATACCCTCGTTCTCAAAATCTAAAGAAAAAAATACAGATACAATTTTAATTGACCAAAAAAAATACATACACTTTCAATTACCCACAACAAATAACTCCTGTAATTTCCCACATCAAATCCTTCACAAATACACTAAAATGAGTTCATAAACCCTTCACAAATACCCGATTATAAGACACATTCATTTGAAATAGCCAAAAATAGCAACAAAACAAATTCATTTCCATATACTCACAAATAATTTGACATAATTGTTCTACCACCCACAAATAATTTCGCAATTTATTTCTATTACCAATAATCAATTGATTCCATAGACCCTAAATGCCCATTACCAAAATTCTTGCAAAACCCATACACATATCCAATTAATAATTCCATACTAACTTGTTAAAACTATTTTATGCTTTACCTTTTTACGGTGCACCAGAATTCGACTACTTCCACGCCATCACAATTCGTCCACTTCTTCCACAACAGGGAAAGCACTTCAGCGACAAGGAAACAAATACCGACACGAAGTAACAACGAGTCACTAAACCCAACAAATAAAAACAGGCAACGATAAAGGCGAAATCAAAGAAGAGATTAAACTTGGTGAATTAGCTATGGAGAACTCAAAGCAATGGGGAATGACAAGAGAGAGAAAAAATAACATAAATTTAGGCCCTCTTTAAAGAGAGGAGAGAGAAATTTCAAATAAATTAATGAGAAAAGGCAAAACGGGATGTCAGAAGGAATAACGGGACAAGCTGATTAGGATTTTTCAAATTACATGTGAAAAGACAAACAAGCCCCTCGTTATGTATTTCTTCACTCCTCACTAACCTCCCTTTGAATGCCCTCGTAGTTGAGTGAACATATTCTAAAATTTATACGAATCATACTAAGGAAAATTAGCTTAAAATAATACCAACTATTATCGGTGTGTGCAAAATAATACAAACTCAATTATTTGCTAGTAGTGGTACCACCTTTTATACTATATATATGTGCAAAATAGTACGCCAATCTCCAAAAATGTATTTCAATGAATATTCCGTCAGTCTTTGTAATTAGTTATTATTTTTTATATTAATTTTCTGTTTTATTTTCAAAATACATACATAGTATTACGTTAACAAGTTTCTTTACAATCAAAATTGATAATGCATTAATGCCCACCCTTTTGTTAGAAAAATCAACATGTAATTAATTTTTTTTATAATACATATAGTAATTTCTACATCACATAATAGTAAATAGGATATTTAAATGCCTTATTATTATCATTATGTTGATATAATTAGTTTCAAAATATCTGAAATTTTCCCACATTCACCAACCAAAATAATGTAGGGATTTTTTTGGATTTTTAAAACTATTTTTTAAACTAATTAATAAAAAATACCCTATTTACTATTGTGTGATAGACTGGTATTAGAAATAATCACTACATGTATTTTGAAATTAATTATATAAATACATATTGACAATTAAAAAAAAACCTAACAAAAGGGGTGGGGCATGCATTATTAATTTGGTTGTAAAGGAAATTATTAATACAATATGTGTTTTGAATTTTTTTTAATAAAATAATAGTAAGAAATAGACGGAATTTTACTCAAAATACATTTTTGGTGACTTGCGTACTATTTTGCACATATAGTATAAAAGGTGGTACCTCTAATAGCAAATAATTGAGTTCTCATTATTTTTCACACACCATTGATAGTTGGTATTATTTTAAGCCAATTTTCTTAAAAAAAAGGTAGTCATATCTTCTAATTAAAAGAATTACCTAAGTCTTCTAACTAAAGTAGATTAGGAAGTAGGGTCGAATCCAAAAGGAAACAAGTCTTTCTATTCCTAATTAATTAATATAATCTAAACTATTAATTAACCAAATTGTTTAAGGGAAATAAACTAAGGAGAATAATTAAACTAAAGCAATTAAGAATTATAGGAATAACAATAAATCAAAGCCTAGGGTATAGCTTCGCCAATAAATAATATTCCTCGGTAAAACACAATCATAAATCATCAATGCATAATTAATCAGATCATAAAGGGCTTTCGCTACGTATTAAAATCACGAAATTAATCTACCGGCATTTAATCGCATCTCTTGAATCTTGACTTAACCATTTATAAATTAACATGCCTATTGAAACTAAGCATAAACATCAATTCTCATCTCTCGAATATCGAATCAATATTACATATATAACTAATACAATTAAACCAGGCCTAATCTAATTGCATAATATTAAATCAATCATTAGGAAATCAATCAAGCATTGACAATCAACCGTAATTAACTATCCCTTCATATTATTTATGGATCCCCACAACCTTAGAAATATAACTACTCACACATATTAAAATCTAATCTAAGCAAAACAAATAAACAAGACATGATTCAACAAAGCAATTAAATTACTGAAAATAAAAGTGAAAGAGATCTTTACCAAAGTATATGGAAATAATGAATTGTATAAATCAAAAGTTTTGATAGAACAAGAGTAATAATCCAATAGCTTAAAACTAAAATAATATGAGAATTTAACTAATGAAAAGAAGTAATTGTATCTTGCTTAGAAAAGCCTATTTATACATAAGCTAGAAAATCCTAAGTTGAAACAAATTAAAAGACGCTTAAATGCCCTCTGGAAACACGCGCCTGGTTGTGTAGATGCTTTCCCGGCCGGGTCTGCCTTTTTATTGGTTGTGCTATGCTCACGCCCGGCCGGGCACACCTCTGGGCGGATTGCTTCTCTTCTTTCTTCCTCACTCGGCCGAGCGCACCTCAGGTCAAAGGCACTCTCTGGTCAGGCGAGCTCTCGGGTAAGGGAATTTCTTCGATTGGGCTACTATCTTGGCCCAATTCGGATTTCCTCTTTGGTCCTTTACCAGTTGGTCAAATGCCTTGAACTCTTCTTCGCCGAGCCCAAATCACCGGTATACTTGTAGTGGTCAAATGCCTTGAAACTCTTTGGGCTATGGAAAATGGTCATATGAACGTGCTCTACTCTTATACTTGTAGTGGCTCCAATAAGTCCGAGAAAATGCTCTAAATCTGCAATTTCCTATAAAACAATACCAAGACTACGAAAACGCATATTAGTAATAAAAGTGGCTCCAAAGAGCCAAAAATACTCCTATATATGACTAAGGTATGGGAGTAAATCACTATATAAAATGAACATATCAGTCAGCCAACCACCCCCTCTGTTAGTCCAAGCTACCGTAGTTAGGGCTGTATGCCGGTCCAAAACCGGACTAGACCTAACCCGGACCTGAATAATTTATTTTTAAGGATCGTATACCGGACTTTAATAAATGTGTTTGGTTTCGTTCCAGTCTTGAAAAATCAGGTTCAGTCTGGGTTTGGACCTAAATAGACTGAATTCTTGATTTTTTTTCGTTTAAAAAAAAACAAAAAAAAAAAAAATTGGACTTGTTTATAAACTTGTTGTTTAGATCTATTTATGGACCTTTTTAGATCTGTTATGTACTTGTTTAGACTTATTAAAAAAAAAAGTAGCTTTACCGCTTTGAGGTCCAGACACAAATTTTGGGTTTTACCTAAACCGGACCTGAAACTCAAAATCATGTATTTTTAAGGACTGAGACTGGACCTGAATTCATCGATATAGTTATGGTCCGGTCCAAATAGGTCCGATTCAGGCCGGTTTTCAGGTCTGGACCAGTTTTTTACACCACTAACCGTAGTACTCGATCGCCGAACTGAAGCAACCATTAGATCAGAGCTCGTGTCATTGTCATCACTTTTGTGGGTGGTTTGGGCGACCGAAATCGAAGCAAGGGAGAGTGACGGATGTCGAAATATTGTTGGGGGATTGTGAGAGAGGCTGAACTCGAGCCGAGGAAAAGGGAGGGAGGCTAGAATCAGGTAGGGGAAGGGGAGAGCTGTTGGTATCGGAACAGGGGAATGGGAGAGGAGCTGAGATCGGGGCGGAGAAAGGGTTTTCGTGGGTTAGGGATGGTTGGTTTTAATGGGTTTGTGTGACGGTGGAAAGGAGGTCGGTGGCTCGGGGGAGGGGGGCGTCGGCGCTAGAAGAGGTAGTCTGGGCGGTTGGCGCTGCAAGACAGGGTAGTCTGGCAGGAACAGGCCGCGGGAAGGGTGGCTGGGGCTGCATGGTGGTTTTTCAATTAATCAATTTTTTTATCTTAATATTAATTAAAAAAATTTAATTTTAATTTTAATTTTATTTTATTTATTAATCACTGGACGATACGTGTAAGCTAGCTTGTTATAATAAGTTAGTTAACCGGATAGGACCATTGTGAGCAAATTGGGTATAATGGTGAGATTATTTAAAAATAATCCAAAGATATTTTTAGCGAATGCCCAAAGGTGGGATTATTCTGTGTAATTTTTTCTTTTATATACTAGTAAATTAATCAAGTTAAAAGTTCAAAACCATTATGTGAGTAGTGAAAAATTCAAATTGTAACACTTATTAAAACATAGAGGGTGTTGATAGGACGTCGTCAACCTATCAAGAAATAAGACCTAACTCGATCCTACTCAACTAGTAGCAAGGGCAAGAAAGGGTCGAACCCATGAGAGGCGTTGAATCAACCACCAAATGTTATTGTTTAAACAAGCTAGATTAAGTCGGGGGTTTTAAGTTGGTATTACGTCACACTATTCTAATTCAAATCAACTAATTCTAAGAGGTGATTAACAATATTAAGAAGGCCTAGGGCATGGGTTACACCACTAAACTTCATCACGGACCACAAGTAACATGCATAGAAATGGTGATTTAGGGGATAAATTAGGGGAAGTTATCAAATGCACCCAACTACTCTCTCAAGCTAGAGGGATTACTTGACATCAAAACCATAACCTACTCTCGTGATTATGGGCAAGAAACAAGTGTTAAAACATCCTCACGATAACATGCAAATTCCTTGACTAGAAATTCCTATTCTCATGGCAAATCAAGTCAATCAAGCATAAGGGAGCTTCCTCAAGTTCATCTCTCGATCCTTCGTTGAGGAAGCTAGATAAATAATTCAAGCAATGGCCAATTACAAGAATTAACAATGAAACCTCTTAAACTCAACTAATTAACACCCCACAATTAACAAATTAGTTCATGCAACAAGTGTTGGTGATTACATTGAGGGTTCACCCAAACCCTAGAAATTAGACTACTCACAATCCATGGAGGTTAAAGCAATTAAAGATTTCAAGGAATTCATGAACAAATTAAAACTAAGAATTAAGTAGAATCTAACAATTAAACATGCAAAGAACAACCAAACAATTAATAAAAAGCAAGAATTAAAGATAGAAGAGAGAAAGAAAGAGTAAGAAAAAATTACTAGAAGCTTCAATAATTGACTAACAATGGTGGAACTTGTCTTCTACAATGATTGGATTGAAAAACCTTCAAAACAAGAACTAAAATCTATGCTAATTTGAGGATTTTTGTGTTTCAAACTAAGAGGAGTATGAAAATCTGGAAAAATTGGGAACCCCCTAAAATGGTCCAAAGGGGCTATTTATATTACCCCCTAAAATAAGAGGACGGTGAAAACAAGAAACGGGTAAACTGTAGGTCTGCACGGACGTGCTGAAGTTGGCACGTCCGTGCAGACCAAGGCAGAAACTCAGTTTAAGACGACCTGCTGCAGCACGGGCGTGCACCTTTGGCACGTCCGTGCTGCATCATCTGCACGGACGTGCAATATTTGGCACGTCCGTGCAGGCCTTGGCAGAAAGAT